CTTCCTGAAAATAGAATCTGGGGTTATGAATAAGGACAAAACTTTATCAAGTTCCTGAAGCTAACACTGCCCTAAAAATCCCAAGAAAGCTACCTGGACAAAGTCTTATCCTGTTCCCTACTCCCACTCTAAGAAAATGGGGTTAATACCTCCCCATATGGCTACAGGGAGGATTAAGGATCATTATTCTTGGCATCCAGCTCTAGCAGTTGTGACCTTGTTCATCCCAAAAGATGATATTAAATATAAAAATGTGAACAGTGATCCTTGAATCTGGCTCTACAGGAGTGGCTGAGAATTTTCTTTGCATTAGGCCCCTGACACAGCCTCCTATATACTCTGATCTGTTGGCTGTGTCTTCCCCTTATTCAGGCTTCAAGTTTTTAGGTATTAGTCACTAATGCCACAAAGTCCTTTAAGGAGTCTACAGCTATTACTAAGAGCACAAAGAATGAGCCCCAGGACTCTCTGGGTTTCAGTCAGACCCAAATTCACCCTGAAGAAGCTAATAAAGTGGTAGTCCTTCACCCCCAAGTCCTGGCTCTTGAGAAAAATCAGTGAAGGCCAGTGAGAAGCACATATTAAGTCATTTGGTCCTCATCAATACACCACAAAGGTAGGTACCATCATAAGCCTCATTTAACTCATCTGCAGCTCAGAGAGGACACATGATTTAGTCTACGTCACACAGCTAACAGGAGGCAGACATGGATTAAAATAGCACCCCTACTACTACTAGCTGTGTAACTCCAGCATATTTCTTACCTTTCTAGAGCCACCATATTTTCATTTGGGGATAATGATCATTTCTATCTTGGGGGATTTCTGAGCACTAAATGAGATATTACAGAAAAAATATTGAATGTCCAATATAAAGCAGGAAAAAACATGACTTTTTTTTATAGATCAGAAAAAGGAGTCTGATATTTTCACAGAACGACTGAATTTAAAATATTAAACGTTGTTTAGTAGGATAAATATGAGTTCCTTTATCATACCCTTGATAAGAAGAGGCAAAGCCTCTACTTGGATGCCTCAAATGATAACTCTTTTATAAGGCAGATTTATAAATTCAAATTTTCTCCTATCAAACCAAAGTCTACCCTCTCAGAGTGTGTAGACTTTAATTCTCATGCTGCCTCCTAGAATCACACAGAGAAAGTCCAGTTTCCCCTCCCCATGACAATTCAAGTATTTGCAGGCAGGTATCATGTTCCCTCATGCTCTCATGCTTGGTCTTTTCCATGCTTCCTCATGTGTCACAGTCCCAGAGGCAGCTCAACACAAAGCGCACAGACCTAGCTTTGAATTCTAATCTTTCCTCTTACTAGCTGTGTGAATTTAATCACATTTCTTAACTTCTCTGAATCTGTGTCTTCATCTGTATAGTAAAATGATTCTCATCTCACAAGACAGTCATGAGGGTTAAGTTAGACAAAGTAAGGATACTACCTAGTACTAAGCCCAACATATACCAAACCCCTTCAAGAAATGTCACTTTTTTTTTGGTGGGACCGGGGTTTGAACCCAGGGCTTCATGGGCTTGCAAAGCAGGCACTTGCAAAGTAGGCACTGTACTGCTTGAGCCATACCTCCAGTTTAGCCAGGATTAAGGTGTGAGCCACTGGTGCCCAGTAGAATGTCAGTCACTTTTTAGGATGGATACAGGCCAACTGGTAAATATTTCTCAAAGTAAGTTAGCCAGAATTAAACATAACACCAAATTAATTGGTTTCCAATGGCAACTGCTACGCTAGGACCTGGTTTTTGAAGACATGACAGCTAAGAAGAAAGCACAGCCCAAGGGTTCTGGATGTCTAGCAATTTGTGATGGTAGCTCGAAGATGCAATAGAGAATATGGAAAGGTGAGGATAAAAGAAAGGAAACAGGACCATTAATCCAGTGACCCAAACAAAAGTATCACCATATTACATGTTGTCTATGACCCTTTGAGATTCAGAACTGCTTATATGATACACATTCTCTAATTTAAAAGAGAAGAAAATTAAACATAATTGAAGAACAAATCACAATCTGGATCTTCCTCAGCAGTTGGCCCCTGAAGATCTGCAGATGGGGTGCTGGTGGCTCACACCTGTAATCCTAGCTACTCAGGAGGCAGAGATCAGGAGGATAGCAGTTTGATGCCAGCCCAGCCAAATAGTTCTCTAGACCCTATCTCGAAAATACGCAGTACAAAAACTGGCTGGTGGAGTGGCTCAAGTGGTAGAACATCTACCTAGCAAGTATGAGGCCCTGAGTTCAAACTCCACTACCGCCAAAAAATCAGTTATGTCTTTCTAGATCCAAAAGCCCAGGGGTATGAAATTACCCTACAGAGTATGCCCAATGAGTCAATACTGAATTCCTTCTAGCTAGAAAAATTGCACTAGTTCTGCTTCCTGTCTGCCATGCCAGGCTCATAGCTAAGAGCTTGCTTTGAATCTAGAAGACTTTCAATTTGGACTTTTGAACAATGTTTTAACTGTTAAGACTTTGGGGACTCTTGAAGATGAACTAAATGCATTTTGTATAATGAGATGGCCAGGAGCCTCTGGGAACTAGGAGGAGAATGTTATGGTTTGAATATGAAATGTTCCCCACAGGTTCATGTGTTGAACATTTAATTTGGTCCCCACCTGGTGACTACTTTGAGAGGTGGTGGAAACTTTTAGGAGGTGGTGAGTAGCTGAAGGAAAGACACTGGGGGCCCTCCAAGGTTACACCTATTCCCTAGAGCTTTTTCTTTCTCTTCTCTGAATTCTGTCTCTGTCTCTGTCTCTCTCCTTCCCTCCCTCTCCCTCTTTGCTTCCTGTCTGCCATGAGGTAAAGAACTTCCTCTGCCACACACTCCCATTGCCAAGATGTTCTAAGAACATGGGGTTAAGCAACCAGGGACTGAACCCTCTGAAACCATGAGCCACAGTAAATCTTTCTTCCTTTTAAAAAATAATTGTCAGTTGGACACTGGTGGCTTGCGCCTAGCTACTTAGGAAGCAGAGATCAGGAGGATCATGGTTCAAAGCCAGCCTGGGCAAATAGTTCATGAGACCCTATCTGGAAAAAAAAAAAAATCACACACAAAAGAAGAGGGAAACTGGTGGAGTTGCTCAAGGTGAAGGCCCTGAGGTCAAACCCCAGTACTGCAAAAAAAAAAAAAAAAATTGCCACAGGATGCCAGTGGCTCACTCCTGTAATCCTAGCTGATCAGGAGGATTGAGCTTTGAAGCCAGCCCCTGGCAAATAGTTCTAGAGACTCTATCTCAAAAAACTGGTGGTGGAGTGGCTCAAATAGTAAGAGTACCTGCCTAGCAAGGGTGAAGCCCTGAGTTCAAACCAAAATGCCACAAGAAAAAAAAAAATTGTCACTTCATGCCTGTAATCCTAGCTACTCAGGAGGCAGAGATCAGGAGGAGCCTGTTGGAAGCCAGCCCAGGCAAATAGTTCCTGAGACCCTATCTTGAAAATACCCATCATAAAAAAGGGCTTGTAGAGCACCTGCCTAGCAAGCATTAAGCCCTGAGTTCAAGCCCCAGTAGCAAAAAAAAAAGTTAGTGCAGCCCATTGGGCCTACCTGTGCCCTAGGATGGGGATTTCATAACATCTTTGAGTCAGAAGGTAGGTGTCCTCAGCATTGTTTTCTTCTCAAAACTGTTTCAGCTCCAAGGGCTGGGGGCATGGCTCAAGTGGTAGAGGGCCTACTTAGCAAGCCAAGCCCTGAGTTCAAACCTCAGTTCCGCAAAACAAACAAAAAACTGTTTCAGCCTTTGTTTTAATGGGAACACTTGGGCCAGGCACCAGTGGCTGACGTCTGTAATCCTAGCTTCTCGGGAGGCAGAGAAGCCAGCCTGGGGAAATAGTTCTCGAGACCCTATCTCCAAAAAAACCTTCACAAAAAAGGGCTAATGGAGCGGCTCAAGGTCTAGGCCCTGAGTTCAAGCCCTAGCACTGCAAAAATAAAAAAATAAATAAATAAATAAAGGAAATATTTAACTGCCACTTTACCCTGATCATCAGCCCATCCTTGGAAGGAATAAGGAAGCTCCAGTCATTCTACTAGACTTCTAAACTCATAAACTTGAGAACAAAACTTTAAAGTTGCTTTTCCACTATGTCAGTAGGCTAAAGGAAATCCGAGAACATACATATTAGACTGTTATACACTAGTCATAAGCTCCTATACTTCTCCAAAAATCCTGGTGGAGCACCTGCAGGGGAGAGCTAACCAGAGGGTACTAAGAAAATACAACCACCTTCTGGCAAGGGGATGCCCCACTGCAAGTTCAGAAAGAAGGGACCCTGCTGGGTCGATCTCTTCACTTCCTATTTACCACGTGAACTGGGTGTTGAATAGCCCACTCCCAGATAGAGGCCCTTTGCACCGGGCGCAACCATCGTGCTAAAGTTCAGGTTTGGTGCCAGGATGGGCCACTGAAGGCATCTGCGGCTGCCAGAAGCGTGAACCCCAGAGAAAGGAAGAGGGGGAGAGAGAGAGAGGGATGAGAGAGGAATGAGAGAGAGAGAGACAGGGATGAGAGAGAGAGAGAGAGAGAGAGAGAGAGAGAGAGAGAGAGAGAGAGAGAGAGAGAGAGAGAGAGAAACAGAAACAGCAGGTCGGGTCATTGCCCTCCCGTAACTTCCACCTGCCCCCTTCTTCCTGAGACCGGCGCCAGATCAGATGTCAAAACTCCGCAAAAAAAAGTCCCATGATAGGACGACTTCCACCTCTCCCTAGGCAGAGCCTCCCGGGACTCCCACAGCCTTCTCCCTACGTCCCCACCAGCCCTCCGCCCGCACCCCGCCCCCGGCCACCCGGCCCTCAGCCCCAGGGAGGCCTGCCCCTTCTCGGGACACCCGGGGGCCCCGAGGCGGGAGGACTCAGGCCCCCAGGCCGGCAGGGTTGGAGTCGGCCCAGAACTGGCGGCCCTTGTGTCGGGGCTGCGGCAGCCGGTCCCCGCCTCGGCGTCTGCGGAGGGCAGGGGGCGGCGACGACCCGTACCTGTCAGGTCTCTTTCCCGGACCAGCAGCGGCGCAACTTCAGGAGCCCATGTCCGTCCGGGGGGCCCGGCCCCTCTCCCGGGAGTGGGAGCGCGGATCCCGGGAAGGGGGCTGGGAGCCCGGGCAGCTCTAGCTTCTTCCCATGCTCCCCGCCCGGCGCCTGGCCGGGGCCGGACAGCGCCTCCGCCCGCCCCTGCGCACCGCCTCACACCCGCGCTCACACACACTCACACTCCCTCGCGCGCTCTCACACACGCACTCCCCTCCCTCCTCCTGCTCTGTTTATCTCCTCCAGCTGTCTGGGGACCCAGGAGAAGCCCAGCACTGCGCCTGCGCCACGCAGTCTCCGCGCCGGCCTCGTGCTTCACAGCCCGCGCCTACGCTACGGAGATTGCGCCCAACAGTTTCCAGAATGGCGAGCCGGAGCCTCAGCCCCCTTTTTTGCCCCCCCGTGCCGGGTCAACGTCTGCTGCCGGCGGCGCCCACTAACCTGCTAGTGGGGGAGCCCCCGCTCCTCCGCGGCCAATCCATTTTGCCGCTCGCGGGACCGGCAGCCAGTGGGCGGGCGGGAAAGCCGGGCTAAGCCCTGGGGCATCCTGGGAGTTGTAGTTTTTCGCCGTCGAGGAGCGCCTGCAGAGCAGGCTCTTCCCATTAGACGCACCTCCCACCCCACCGTGGGTAAAATGCTCCCTCTCACAGCTTCTGGGACAGCCCCCACACCCTCATTCTATTGCCCCCAGAGACCTGCACAGCCCCCAAGAGCTCCTCAAGACTTCCTCTGAGCCTTTAAATTAGGGGATCCCTCAGGCTAGGGCCCAGGGTCCCCAAGAGTCAAGACTTAGCCCACACTTTCTGGCTCTGGGGTTCTAGTGAAGTAGCACATTCCTCACGAGTGTCTCCAGGGCCTGAAGGAAGAGGACAAAAGGGAATTGATCTTACACTGAGTAGTTTGGAGGAGATTCAGCCACGCTCATTTTAGGAACCCTCAGACTGATGAAAGACAAGGCCCATCGGAGACTAGTGGAGTCATTGCTGTTCTCATGTCTGGGGAAGAGAGGCAATTCCAGCATTGTGGAGCCTCAAGTCTGATGGACACACTCTCCTCTCCAAGGAACTTTTCAAGGTGACAAGGGATACACTATGCCTAACTTCTTAAGGCAGAGACCAGGAGCATCAAGTCAGAAAAGGAAGACACTCATCACCCTCTGAGAAGGGAAAGTCACTCACCCACAGGGTGCCACTTGTTAGATAATAACAATTCATTTTTATTTTCACTACGTTACGGTCCCCTAGATACAGTTACTACCTGTATTTTGCAGGAGAGGAAGCTGGAGCACGAAGAGGTTACATAGCTGATAAAGAAGCAAGTTTGGATTCAAACACAGATCTGCCTGACTTCAGAGTCTGAGACTTTAAACACTGTCTATCCCTCGTCCACCCACTCTTAGGAAGGACCACATACACATTTTTAGCATTTATAGTGCTTGTCCCACGTTTACCACTCCATGAGTTGCTTTTTCTCCAGTTCTGTTCACTACACTTGTATGAATTATCCTGAGCTCCCAAAGGTGATTTCTCTCCATTTGGATGAGTAAGAATCTACCCTTGTGAATTCAGCTCACAAAGCCTTTCATGCCCTACTAAAAATGTTGTGGGTCATTTCTCCTGACCTTTTCCCCACAGCTGTTCCTCTAAATATAAAAAAATCATAGACTTTGAGAATAGAAGAAAGCTTTGAGATCATCTATCCATAGCTCTACAGCTTCAGGCTGCAACCTTGGTTAGGGTTATTGGGTCAGTAAGTCTGAATAATAGCTAACATTTATGAAATACCTTCCATGGGAGACAAGTGCTTACAGTGGATTAAGCAACACTTCCACAATCACAGAGTTATGAAGTGGGACAGTTAGGTTTAAAACCCAGATTATTCTAATCCAGAACCCCCATTATTTTAAATCCTTGGGGCAAAGTCACAGAGGCTCTTAGAAATATTGACAGAGAAGGGTGAATATGTTTCCCGGACTCCTAGCACAGTCTATAGTACATAGGATATGTTTAGTAAATACTTGTTTTCAGAATGAATGTTTGATAGTAGGGAGTGAATGACAGGAAGAAAATAATAATGGCTGCAGTTACTATTGAATATTTTCTGTGAGGTACTCACTTGGCCACATACTTGCTCCCTCGACCTATATATATATGAATATCTTCATATATGTGTGTATGTACACATATAAATTTATACACAATAATTCACTTGATAGTTATAAATACTTTATGAGTTAGGTATTATTACCATTTTACATAGAAAAAACAGACTCAAAAGAAGGTTAAGGGCTGAGGATATAGGTCAAGATATACAATGGTTGTCTAGCATGTATAAGACCTGAGTTCGATCCCCAACACAGCAAAGAAAAAAAGACTAAATTCAGAATCCAACACATCTCCCACTATAGGTATATTTAGGTTAATTAAAGAGAGACCTTTCTAATCAAGAGGGCCAGGTTGAACTGCGGATGTAGCTTAGTGGCAAGAGTGCTTGTCTAGTATGCATTAAGCCCTGAGTAAAATCTCCAGCAACACACACACAAAGATTATTCTTTCATGCCAGTAGAGCTTGGGCTACTTTTGGAGATTGTGAATTTTCTGTCTCTGACAGTATTCAAGCACAGCCTGTCCAGAACACTGTACACACAATTATCGTATCTGATAAATATTTGATAGAGTGACCAGTTCCAGTATTCTCTGATTTTGCTTTTGGAAACAGATAAAGATTATTCAAATAAAGTTTGCAGTAGTGAATACAGCTACTTTTTTCTTCCCAAGAGCCTCAGAAGATGCCCCACTACTCACCTGCTCTGCAGAGGGAGTCACTGGTACCACCATTTTCAACTCCTTATTAAACTCTTGGTGGTTATATTATTATCTGCTCTTTCTGAATGTTCCTACTTAAACATGTAAGCATTTTTTAAAAAAATCAAATGAGGAGAGCTGATAGGGTGGCTCAAGTGGTAAAGTGTCTGCTTAGCAAGTGTGAGACCGAGTTCAAAGCTTGGTGCGCCTGTGTTCAAGCCCTTCCCTGCACTTGGACTCACTCTCATTTATATCTCACTGACCTGAGTTCCTTCTTGAAAACCCTACTGAGCTACGCTAAGAGACAGCCAATCTTACTCCCCAGACTTGAGTGTAAATCTTAAGAACTGAGTGGTGTTAACCTGCTTCTCTTTTCTGGCCCCAGTTCTTTGCTCATCCTGTCTGAGAAAAGCAAGTTTTCTGCCTCACAGGGCAGTTTGTACTTTCATTTATTTGTCCCAAGGTTGTTGTTCTCTGTGGCAACACCGGCTGTGTATTAAATGAGATGCTCTTATTGTCAATGTTAAGAGCTGGGCCACTTTGGTAGTGTCATAATAATTACTTTGACTCTTGTAGTTCATTGGTAGAGCACTAGCCTAGCATATGCAAGGCCCTGGATTCGATCCTAGCACCAAAAAAGAAAAGAAAAGAAAAAGTTAAATACATATTGAAACTTTAGATAACCATACTCTCCTGTTCTCTCTTTCTCAAGCTAAATGTCTCTGTTTCTGTCCAATCCAGTCAAAAAAGGCCACCAGTGAGGATATTGAGGAGAATATGTCAAGGAATCTGGTGATATTTTCAAAAGAGGCATTCCAAAAATGTCCATGCAAAGATAGCCCCAGGATTGAGAGTATAGCTCAGTGGCAAGAAAAGCTGTGGGTTCAATCCCTAGCACCAAACAAAGATAGATTGCCCCAATAAAATAGTTAACAGGTAAATTGAGATTCTTTTAAATTGCAAGTAAATAATATGGCCAGCAGTGGCTTACAGGAGTTTTTTTCACATAACAGAAATTCTGAGGTAGGTGATTATTCTAATTAGTTCAGCTATTCAACAAGATTCCTTTCTATTTTTTTTTCTGCTCCAGAATCCTTCATTTTAATTTTGCCTCTAGTTACAAAATGGCTACTGCAGCACCAAACAGCATGATTAGGGCAAACCTGATCTTGTACCTCCCAGCCTCTAGAATGTGACAAATGAATTTCTGTTGCTTATATGCTTACCCAGTCTATGGTATTTTGTGATAGCAGCCCAAACAGACTAATATATTCAGACACTAACATTAAACTCTTCTAAAAATCAACTCAAAATTGATCATAGATCTAGACATGAAATGTGAATCTATAAAACTTCTAAAAGATGTCATAGGAGAAAACCAAGGTGACCTTGATTTGATGATAAGGTTTTAGATCCATGAAAGAAAAAATGTGGGCTAGGTATGGTGTGTTCATACCTGGAGTCCCAGCTACTTGGGAGGAAGAGAAAGTAGGATCTTGGTCTAAGGCCACCCAGGCCTGGCTCAAGCATCAAAGCAAGACCCTATCTCAAAAAATAACCAAAGTACAAAGGGCTGGAGGAATGGGCCAAGTGGTAGAGCACCTGCCTATAAAGCACGAGGCCCTGAGTCCAACTTTGAGTACCACCAAAAAGCAAAAACATAAAAACAAGAACACCCCCCAAAAAATCCTTAGAAATTATTCCTAGTTGTTCCTTTTATCATCCTATCACTGTCCCCATTAACTGTCTTCTCTCTCTCTCTCTTCTCTTCTTCCTCCATATCTTTTTTTTGTGTGTGTGTGGTACTGGGGATTAAATCTAGGGTTTCGTATGTGCAAGTGCTCTTACTACTTCAGCCACACCCCCAGCCTTTTTGCTTTTGTTCATTTTTCAGATGTCCCTGACAGGTTTCTGTTTGCATCTCACTTTCTAGAAGTATGTATTTCAACTACCTCTATCTTCAAGGTAGGTCTGGGCAGAACTCAGAGTCCAAGGCCCAAGCCAAATTCTAGATGGTCAGACTCTTGGTGGTGCCAATCAAATCAGGGGGGATGATTTCTGCTAACCAAACTCAGAAAGGCTAAAGCAAACAGAATTCTCATGTTTTAAAATGCATTGGGAAATAATTGTTAGCCTTTCTGGCAATGACAAGCCAAGACTATTACTGTTGAGTAAGCAGGTGATCTAGCCTCTTCTGTGCTATAAATAGTGTGATATGTGGTAATATATCACCACCTACCTGACAAGAGTTATAAGTAGAAATCCACAGTATGTTTATAGAACATGTGAAAATAAAGAAATTCAAATTTTGAAACACCAGTCAATTGGAGGACTGATATGACTCAACTTTAAGATATACTAGAAAGCAACTTGCAAAACACTGCCCTAGGGTCTAGATGACTGAAAATATGAAAGGAGGCTGCAGCATTCAGAGGAACCACTCTCTGTTATTTACTTTATTTTATTTATTTATTTTGGCAGCACTGTGGTTTGGATTTGGGGCCTCATGCTTTCTAGGTGGGTGCTCTACCA